GAAAATTCATGATTTTTAACAAAAAGAGTCACAACTTGCATATCTATGGGTGATATTTGAAGAAGTGTTTGTTTTTTTCCAACATAAACTCTGTGAAACACACACCACTCACAATCTAATCTATAGGTATCAAAAACTGGGGACAAGTATCCAAACGATTTAAGTTGATTTATTTGCAACTCATATGCAACAATTCGTGAATATTTCCACAATATATTCTGCGTTGTATGCGCTTAATTCATGCTATGCACTACATTTGTGTGTGATTCAAATATTTGCTCCGCAAATATATGTGCATACGCATTTCGACAGTTTCCCCTAGACGGAAAATCAATTTTCAAACTTTTATTTTGAAATAAACACATACCTCTTTGCGCTTGGTCCAGTGGTTGTCAATTGTCTGTCGAGTAAATGATAATTCATGATTTTAAATAAGAAAAATAGTTACAAATTGCATATATGGAAAATCACCTTTTAGAGCTTTCTTTTGTTGATTGGCTATATGAAGAACATTAAGAATAAGACAGTTGATAATTGTAGGAAAATGTATTAGCTATGAGTTACTTACCTCGGCACATCATCTTTAATCCCGAAAAATTTCTTCAAATCCCATTCCTTTGAAAAATTGGTATTTAATTCGAACAAGAATGAATGAAAATTCAGTTTGATTGTGGCGACAAAATTGAATGAGAAGGTGATAGGAAGCAATGAAATGAAAATGGAAATGAATAGAAAATGATCTAATGACAACATGTCTCTTCACGACCAAAACATACCTCCCATGGATCTCCAGCGCTAGCATTGTGCAAAAGAGACACCTAGTAGAGAACAAATATTTATTAAAACTTCTAGATTGATGAGTGAATATCGATGAAAATTCGTTCAAAATTTCACTTACAAAACAAACCACCGAAACAATTGCTGTTGTTTTCATCTTGGACTGGTGATTCCGTATGAAGTGACTCTAGTCAAATCCACCATTTTTATAGGATTCAGAACGAATTCATTGTGATTAATCGACGATCGTCGCCATTTCATTCCGAATAAACGGAAAATTCCTTATTTTTGGTTCGCCTGAAAACAATTTTTATTTTGCTGAAGCAAACCATACAAACTAAAGATGTTCTAAGTGCATCGGAATGGTTTAAACACACGAAATTCATTCAGCTTCGACGATCGTGATATCAATTCACAATTTATCACTCCATCGACTCGTGTGACTTTGTGAGTTCAAGGCATAGTTAAAAATAGATCGCAATTTGAATATACTATTGGAAAACAACAAACGTTTCAAATTCGCTCGAAATATGAATGAATATTCTTTCTCTGAATGAAGCAAATGCTTAAACAAAAGATGTTTTTTTTACACATTAGAATGGTTTAAGCACAACGCGATTGAGAACAAATGATGATGATAACTCAACGAGATTTTTTGGAAAATTGGTTTTCGTCGTAAACTTTCCCAGTGAAAAAGAATTGAGCAAATTTATAGAGCAGAAAATTGGAGAGACATTTCATTTATTGGATGCAATATTTCTGAAGAATGTATTTCAAAATGACATTATCGAAATGATCAAATGTTGCAAAGGGAAATTTGTTAGTTTTTATGAAAGCATAGATAATCTAACTAGATCTCTTTAATAACACGAACAGAACAATTTTCACACGGAAAATATCTGGTTTATTGACTACATTGAGAATTTTCATATGATATCGAATTTACTTCCGGTTTTCGATCGGATATCGAAAACTGGTTGAATAATAGTAGAGATTCTAGTTTTTGATGTTCACACTCTTACAAGAAATGAAGCACGACAAACAACTAATGTTCTAAAAGACGAGACAAAGTGGGCCTTTCTAAAAGAAAAGAAGACAAGCCGTATTATACCCAAGGATTTATTGTAAAAGAATGAAAAATCATGTGAATGAATAAAACAAAAGCAGAATTGTGTCCCATTTAAATCCGACTTCAATTCGGCGTAAAATTTATTCATCTGTGAATTATTACAATAACTGTATACAACAACTTTGGTTTAAAATGATTCAAAACTTATTATACACAGATCGTTGGAACCTATTTGAGCAAAGTCCTCTTGAACCTTTCGTCCTGCATTTCTTGAAATGATCAAAAAGTTTGGTCTAGGCGGATTTCTCACACAAAAAGTTTGAGCAAATGTGCAAAAATGTCTATTATTTCTTCTTTTTTATTGAAATTGTATGAAAATGTACTGAAATGACGATTTTGCTTGAATAAAAGTGTTCTGGAAGTGGGTTTTGGTGGATCCTCAGAATGGACTAGATCCGGTTTGACATTGCCCTGGCCCATCCTGAAGATCCACTTCCAGAACCGGGAGCAGTTCTGAACGATCCTTGGGATCCACCAAAACCCACTTCCAGAACAATTTCATTGAAGCATAATTCAAAAGTTCAGTGTAAATGTCAGAGCTGCTCACGAACACGAACGATTTTCTTTTGATTCAAACAATTCGAATCGAACATAAAACGAACACGAACAATATTTTGCTTGTTCGAACCGAACACGAACAAACAGAAATTTCGGTTCGTGAATAATTGAAAAAAATTTCATATCTAACTATAAATCTGTCTGATATCTTACTGAAATGCCGAGAAATTCACGCGAATATAGAGCAAAGAGGATGTGCGCATGTGTTGGTGGGTTACACACGCGCACATACCAGAGGTCGCAACGGGAGCCCGTCCCGTAGTTCCGCCCGAAGCCCGCCCGTCCCAAAGTTTCTGTTTTGCAAATTCTAGACATGGTATTAGTTTCAATGAGTTCTATTGGCCCATAGGAACTCTTTCAATCCATTGAGCCACCATAAAAAAGTTTAATTCAAAATTTCGTTGAAAAAACTTAAAGTCAATTTTTTCCCAATATGAATGATTTTCGATTCCAAGTTTTAAACGACAAAAATTTTTGTTTTGCGTATTCAAGCTATAGAATTGGTTTCAATGTGTTCAAGTAGACTTCAGAAACTCATTCAATTTTTTAAACTATGAATTATTGTTTGATTTGAAAATTCTGTTGAAAAAAATTCTGAATCGATTTTTATATATAATAATTCATAGTTTGATTAATTGAATGAGTTCCCGAAGTCTACTTGAACACATTGAAACCAATTCTATAGCTTAAATACACAAAACAAAAAATTTTATCGTTTAAAACTTGGAATCGAAAATCATTCATATTGGGAAAAAATTGACTTTAAGTTTTTTCAACGAAATTTTGAATTAAACTTTTTTAATGATGGTTCAATGGATTGAAAGAGTTCCTATGGGCCAACAGAACTCATTGAAACTAATACCATGTTCAGAATTTGCAAAACAGAATTTCGCCGGTCAAAAGATGATATCGAGAATTCTTCATATAATGGAAGAAATCAACTCAATTTTTTCATCGACGAAATTTTCAAATCGTTCAATTTTCAATAGTTTTATGAATTGAATGTAGTTCTAAGGACCACCTGCACTCATTGCCAGTTTCAATTTGGAACCGTTTTCACAATTGTAATATCGATGTTCCTTCTATGTTGCTAATATTATTTCGTCTAATCGTTGAAGATATGTCCAAATTGTTGGCGAGATTTCCTTGAATAATGTGTGAATTTCTCGGCATTTCAGTAAGAAGACTTTACCTCCTGAGAAACTCTATGTTTGTATGACTTACATTCAACATTCGAAATACTTGAATCGAACTCGAACAGTTCAAAACAAATCGAAATCGAACTCAAACAAACACGAACATAACTTATTTTGTTTCGAACAATTCGAACCGAACCCGAACGAACACGAACACAAAATTCAAAAGAAATCGAACTCGAACTGTTCGAGTTCGGTTCGTGAGCAGCTTTAGTAAATGTACATTTATTTACACGAATTGACAAAAATTGATCGAATCGGACCGAATTGAAGAAATTTTTCAAAATTTATAAGAATTCATTCATTTTTTATCATGAGAAATCCCCCTAGAGTTTGTCTTGGTAGACTGCGGGCGAAAATCGACTTCGAATTTGTAGTCAAGTAGTAAATGCTGGCTTCGCTATTTGGAAAAAAGGAAGAGAATGCAATCCACATTGTTAAAATGCAACAATTTCTTTCAAGGGGGAAAGTACTAGATTTGTATAATTCAAATAATGCAATCTAGTACAAAAATAATCCCAAATAATCCTTCGGAATTCTCAATAATGCTCAATAATGCTATTCATAATATCAATGAATAATAGCGAACTATGGTCAAGTAATTGATGCTTGCGTGCATTTGAATGCTTTGAAAACAAAGTAGATATGAATTGGTGAGACCTAGAAGAACACAAGTTTGTCAAACGTCGTAGCAATAAAGAGAAGTATATTTTATTGCAACTAACGATGGTTGAAAGAATGTATGTTCATTTTTGGCGGGTCGTCCCGGTTTTGCACGGTTTCCACGTAACTGATAAGAGATAACAACTAGTTGTCTTCGAAAAAGTTGTAGTACTCAACATCCTCTATAACATTGCTGAAGACAACTATCTCTTATCTCTTATCAATTGGGCGAAAATCAAAAACATCGGCCTATGGCGTGTTTTTTCTTTATCATCCTTCGCGTTTTCTGCGAAGAAAACTAGTTGTTATCTCTTATCAGTTTCGCGGAAACCGTGCAAAACCGGGACGACCCGCCAAAAATGAACATACATTCTTTCAACCATTGTTAGTTGCAGTAAAATATACTTCTCTTTATTGCTACGACGTTTGACAAACTTGTGTTCTTCTAGGTCTCACCAATTCATATCTACTATCGACCCACTTTGTTTTCAAGGCATTCAAATGCACGCAAGCATCAATTTCTTGACCATAGTTCGCTATTATTTATCGATATTATGAAAAGCATTATTGAGCATTATTGAGAATTCCGAAGGATTATTTGGGATTATTTTTGTACTAGATTGCATTATTTGAATTATACAAATCTAGTACTTTCCCCCTTGATTTCTTTAACTTACGCCTTGCAATTGCCGGGCTCTCCACCCATTCGCAATTTGGCACCTGTGCAATTTCCTTTTTTCATATAATCGAATGAGGCGCATGGATATCCGTAGAATCGAATAGATGAGTAAATACTTTCAGCGAAATATTTGACTGAACGCCAGTGTGACCATTTGCCAGTTAAATCATTTGAGCAGCCGGGTTGTCTAAATCCGCCATTTGGGTAGAAATCAGCCGTTCCGATTGGATTGTACATTCCTAAGAGTGCGCCGTTGGTATGAATAACTTCGACATATCTCATTTTAGGAAAGAAATATTTGCGATTCTTAGTCACAATGTAACTTTTTTCTAATAAATTTAATAAATGACACTCACTTTGCATCTTCACGATGCAATCGTTCATGAGGTTTATCCAATGCAAAAAGTGGACCGGCCGGATCTAAACCGACTATTTTTGACAAT